CAGGCAGGCAGGCAGGCAGGCAGCCAGACAGACAGACAGACAGACACATTTTTTCTTTCAAACTAATTTTAAGTATCAGTATATCTTATACATATTTATGTAATAGAGAGAGAGTGCAGAATGTAGAGGTGTCCTTTCCAACCCTTTAGTCATTGTCTTTGGCTTCGTGTGGCATCGGATGTCTTGCCTTGAACGGCGCTTCGCGTGGGCCTCCAGGGTGGCCTGAACCAAAGAATGTGCATGGCCCTCCAGGGGCGTGTAAGCGAATCTTCGGGGCGTCACCGCGGGGGTGTGTCTCTTGGATCGTTTGAAACTGGCTGTTGGTTGAGCATGGATCCGAAGTAGTGCTTTGACCAACTCCAAAACACCAGAACTTTGCTTCACACCTTCACTGGACGCGTCCCAATCCCCTCCTTGAGTATAGGGGACGTTTCCGAGGATTGTCAACATGATGGAGTTCTATGAATTCGCCGCACAGATTGGACCAAATGGGCGTGGGGTGGGTGTGGGGTGTGCCGAATCAACGCCGGAGGACGCGAGGACGAGGAACGCCGGAGTTTTCCTTTTTTTTGGTAACTTTTGGGTCCATCAGTCGGGATGAACCACGTGGACATAGGTGTTATATACCTGTGCAGACGGTAGTTGAATGTCCAGTACTCCAGAGCAAAGTGGCCAAGTGCGATACTCAAAACAGATCGTCTCGTGGACACGTGAGCGAATGAAGAATTTGGACTCTTTCACGTGGACTCCGTGGACCCTCAGTTTACATGAGCCCAAATAGAGAACAGATGAAGAAGCGATTCCTTCCAGGACACCAAGAAGGAGCACCAAGACACCCAGGACTCTCCACGCGAGACCCACGAACGCGTGGTCTTTGGCCGGAACGGGCCGGAACTCCCCGTGGAACTCGAAGCGAAACACCCCGCGTTTGGGTTCTGACCAAACGAAGAGTTGCTTGGAAGCCAGCGAATCGCATCGCTTCGCAAGACCATGTGGGGCGTGGGTCTTTCTTTTTTGGGTGTTGAGCCCCTCCAAGAGACGCAGCGTCCGCATTTTTCAGATCTGGAGGCGCTGCCAGGGAGACTCGTCGTCTCGTCTCGTCTCGTCGTCTCCCGGCGACGGTTCGTCGCGCTGAGGACAAGGACGACTCCGACGACGAAGGCGGACGACTTGCGGGACGAAGCCAGCGACTCGCCGTAGGGCGGGGCATCCGTAGCCACGGAAACACAGCGGGGGAAGTACTATACGAAGTACGAAGTACCAAAAAAGCCAGTCAGCGATGGCATTCTTTTTGGTCCATCCTGCCTTTCATCCAAGTTCAACAAGATGAGCAAACACCTTTCCACTGCGGGGTTCTGAGCCTCAGGCCTGGGTTCGAGGTCACTTAGGGACTCCAAGGGAAGGTCACTCTATCCAATCTGACCCACCGGATCCTTCCGAAGAACCCTAGGGCCCCCGCCCGCCGGCATCCAGGTGTCGTCGTCCCTATAGTGGTTCCAGTTCAACCTCAAACCCACCGAATGTTCGGGACCGGAACGGTTCCTGATCCTGGTTCCTGGTGGTTTGCCTGGGATCCACTGGGATCCCGCACCCATCCCCGGACCTTCCAAAACCACCGGTGTCTCGTCCGCACCCGTCGTGGTCCGTTTTTGCACCGAAACGCCGCGACCCGTCGGGTTCCCGAAGGCCCTTCCGATGGCCCAAGCGGGATATGGCGAATGCTTCCCGGAAGGAGGGTTGTCCCATCTTCACAGTTGTGGCGTACGATTTGGTCCGACATGAATTCGTTGGTTCGTGGAGTAAGAACGAACTGACCATGTAAACCAGTGCCTTGCAATGCCTTTGTCTCGATAGAGAACAGGGCGATCCCTGAAAGAGTTGGAAGGAAAGTAAAGCAACACTCGTGAAGCACGATTTGGGTGTAGGGGTGATCCTTCAACTGAAACGGCTCGATTTCAAGGTTTTTGGCTAAGGTTCCTAGTTTTGGTCCAAAACCACCAGGGTCGCGGCAAGTGATCCCGCCCAACATTGGAAGGCAACAGAAGACCATTCTTGAGACCCTGCCAGCTGAAAAAGCAACCATAAATCATGACAAAGCTGCCGGGCCTTCACTCATCTTCCTCCCAACACATCCAACACATCCACCACCAGCACTACCACCCCAAATCCACCCCCTGGGTTCCCAGCCCCCCCAAAAGACATCTCTCACAGCCCCCACAGCACGTTTTCCAACACTACGTGCCCCCCCCCAAACCCCCACCGCTCTTAACACTACGTGAACCCTCAGCACTCGGACCTTCCGGCGCCGCCGCCATGGCCGCGGCGAGCGCGGATCTCCTGGAGCTGGTGACGGCGCATCGCGGAGTGCGCCACGACCTGGGCGACGGCGACCAGGCTGGGGGGAACGAGAGAGGTAAGAGGGAGGAACGTTGATGTATGCTGTATGTTGCTCAATGATGGGAGGAAGATGCGAGAATTCTTCGAAAGCCTTTGCCTGGAAACCGCCCGGCACTGCCCGCACGTCCATCGAATCCCCTCGTCTCGTGTCGAAGGATGTGAAGGATCTGGTGGACCAGCGGTCTCGTTCTGGGGTGCCGCCCATCCTTTCTCAGCGACGGGGCATCCGACTCGATGCGTAGTTTCGGACCCCTTCCTTCACGCCAACGTCCGCGCACACACGCGCGAATCTGGAGGTCCAGAAAGCGTGTGTTGCTTCCAGCGTGAACGCATTCCTGGTGACGTGTCCGAGTCCGTCGTTGCATGCGTGATCGATGTCACGTTCAGCTGCAAAGGACAAGCCCTGCTCTCGAGACTGTCGGAAGCATCAATTATTCGTGGGGTGTGGGGGGGGTTTGCTTTTTCTTTTTTTCCGGCAGTTGAATCATCCACCACATAATATGGATATAATGGGGTACTACGGTATATGTGATCCAGTTTCTTTCAATTTTTGCGGCACAAAACAAGGGGGCTGCTCCCGCTTCCGGCTCCCCACTCGCCGCCGGCCATGGACCAGGGGCAGCTGACGGAGATCAAACGCTTCTTCGAGCAGCAGCGCGGCAGCAAACCGCTGGACACCGCTGTACGCTGCTGCTGGGCAAGAGTTGGCGTCGATTTGGGGGAGAGAAAGGGTGAAAGTATGTGAAAGTGGACGCCTGGCTTTTGTGGAGTATACTGTGAGCAGGCGTGCGTCTGCAACAGAACAGCATAATGAGGAGGATATATAGGGGTTGCCAAATAGATAGCGAATACACTTTCTACGTGGGGCTTGACTGGCCATTCTACGAAGTGCAGCTTTTACGAAATTGGGATGTTTGTCGCTGGAGGGGGTCCGGCGCAGCGGCGCATGTCCAGGCTGTAGTTGTGATGTGAAGTTGTAATCCCCAAGCTAAGAGCATTACAGGTTGCTTTAGGAAGGCTTGTGACATTGCGTGGATCAAAGGCTTGGCTTTCGGCCCGATAGAATGCGGCCAGTCAGGCAGCTCCTTGGATGATATCGCTTCTATTTCCACTAGATAAGGGTAGGCGTTTGAAGCGGTTGTAGACACATATAGTGACTAGTCACTTCATCATCCACTCTTTCTTTGCCATGTACTTCAGTCCCTCCAGCCAGGCTCTGTCTTACTTAGTTTCTCCTAGTGACTAGTGGTTTTGTGGGTGGAGAAAGACACCAATATCATCCTGACTGTCGTCCCTCCACCTCCGCGGGACGAGCCGCGGTGAGGCTATCGAAATCCTTGGCTCAAGGACTGGTACCAAGGTGGCGAGAACACAGATCAAGACTGGTATTGCTTAGATCAGGAGAGGCGCGGATGGCGAGTTCTTCTTCGTTCATTTTTTGGGAGAGAGACGAATGGGGGAGAGAGCTCCCCCACCGTTGTTCAGCCCGGCGCCGGCTTCCGGGGTGCTGTTACATCCACGGCCCCGAACATCGAATGCTCCTCCATCACATCCACGGCCCCCTGGGACCAAGAAGACCTGGATGGAACTGCGGTTACCAAGGGAAGTCGTCCTTCGGCTCCTGCTGGCTCCTGCTGGCTCCCTAAACCCCATGGGGTTTCAAACCCGAAACCATCAAACAGCCAGGCACGAACGGAGCGTGCACAAACTCCGAATGGTCCTAGATCCTAACCGATTTAGAGGTTTGGAACTTCTTTCAGCGGAGACTTTGGCCATTCTGACGACGATTCCGGGGCAGCCTTTTGAAAAAGGCGGTGGGGAGCTCTCCTTGTCTCGAAGGCCCCATTGCCTTCCGTGTTTCGTCCCATGCTGTACAGGTGGATGTTATACGAGTACATCTTCTTCCTCTACAGGGTGAAGCTGCCCACCTTCCTCTGCGAGCCACAGCCGGTGAAGAGCCGACCCTTTATCTACGTGCAGGCGCAGACCGCGAGACGCGCAGCGAGACGCGCAGCGAGACGCGCAGCGACCGGATCCGCCCAACGGTTTCGGTGTCGGTTTCGGGATTGGATGTGTCCAAAGGGATCCCAATTCCAGGAAGGGTTTGGCCTTGAATGTCCAATCGGATCACTATATATTCACACTTGCAGGGAGCTTGCGGATGCAAGTTTTATGTTCACTGAAGTTCACAAAATGTGGTTGGGAAGAAAAAGCTTCCTTGGACACTCCCTAGTACATTGGTGAATTTTGACGACGACGCAATGGCGCACCCAATGGAACCGGAGTATGTCATGATCGAGTCCGTGCGAGATGCCCAGCCGGACTACGAGGATGGCACCACAATCAGCAGCCTAGGCATGGAGAGCCTGGACGCCGCTGCAGACGCAGCATCCACAGCCCTCCGTCATGCGGAGGCGGAAGGTGCAAGAGGCTTAGCCGTGTTTGGCCAGCCTGTAGTAGTTGCTGAGCTGGATGCTCAGGAGAAGATTCGTGAACTCGAGCGCCACTTGGAGGCCCTCAAACTCCAGATTGCCGAGCGCGAAGATGCGGACATGGGTGTGGACCTCCTGGGCCTGGAGAGCCAGGCGGATGACGACGCTTGCCAACCCCCCCTGCTCCTATTGCCCCTGGCCCAGCGGCGGAGGGGGTGGCTCCTGCTGCTGTGGTGGCCCCGTCGACGAGCCCTACTACACGATCAGCGGCAGCGGCCCAGCCTTCTATGCTGACGGCCATGGCGGAACCCCCTGTGACTTGGCCTGTTGCGGCGGAGCCACGCCCTGCGGCACCGGACAACCAGATGGAGGAGGACACCACTGAGCGCCCGGGCTTAGGTTTCACGCCCCCTGCACCCGCAGGGTATGTTAGTGACCCGGTAGATGCCATGGCGGCTGCTGCTTTGCCGTTGACGCCCCCGGCGAGGGCACAGGCACCAGAACCTCCGAGACCTACCAAGAGGCCGAGGAGCCTACATCCAAGACGCCAACCCTGCCGGGTTTTACCAGGGCCTCTTCAGCCACACTGGGCGCGGTCCCCATGCCAATCAGGTTCCTCCCGGTGACGGAACCGGAGAACCATGTCCGGTTCGCAATGTTCCCGGACTCTTTCCCGCCCGTTCCGGGCCACTTGGCGGGGCTTCTCACCTCTTGCTCCGAGAAGGAGATGGTCCAGCTCTTCGACCAGTTCACCGGCTACCCTTTGTCAACACCGGTGGTCACCCGCATCATTGAGCAGTACCTCCCCCTGCGGGCGATGGCCATGCAGGAAAAGATCTGGACCCAGCGATATCAGCAGTCTGGCGACGAGCTGCTCCGGTCCAGTCTACCCAGGTGCCCCTGGCCCTGAGGCGACTGGCATGGACCCTGACGCGGAGAGGCAATTCAAGCTGTCACACTCCATCGATGGGAGCCAGTTTGCCCAGGCCCTGGCGGCCACATGCACTGAGGAAGAGCGGACCTTTGCGGATGAGGTCCCTTCAGTCTGCCGGGTCCACATCCGGCAGGAGATTTTGTCGGCGGACTACGAGGACGATGCAGCAGAGACCACGGAGGCCCACCGTCGACGGCTGACGGAACAGCAGCCCTCACAGTCCTTCCAGATCTTCCACCCGGAGGCGGCCAAGGCACTCCGCATTCAGTCTGAGGCCCTCCAGGGCCTTGCTTCAGCAGATCTTAAGGCGGAGCGCGCCCAAGCGGAGGAGGCCGAGCGACAGGAGAAGGCCGATCAAGGGTCTCAGCTGCAGGCCGCGGTATTGGCGCCCATCCAGGAGGGCATGCAGTCGGTGCCTCTTTTGTCCGACTGTCTCCCTGGACTGGCACCCCCGGACCCCACGGACATGCTCCAGCACTACCTCCCGGCAATGAGGGCACTGCAGAACGGCCATAACCCTTGGGCTGCAAACCCCAAGCTACTGGAGGAGATGCCCGACCTCAAGCACACAAGAGGGTGGAGCCATGCGCCGCCCCCCGAGACGAGCGCCTGGAACTGGTGGGCAAGATGAACCACCGCCTGTGCTTCAGCACCAGCAACAACCTGGGGGCCGTGTCCGATGCCATCTGGCAAGTCATCCTGAGCAACGAGGAGATGAAGGGCATCCGGGCAATTCAGCAAGTGGCCCAAAAGGTCACAGCAGCGGCCTGAGCGGCCATTAAGTGAGCGAGGGTGCCGCGGGTGAGTGGGCCTAGACCGTTTTGTCTCACCCCATTTTGCATCCATTTTGAGCTCTCTGCCCATCAGGGCTTGGACGCCGTAAGTGTCCTCCCTTAGGTCCAGGTGCCCATTGGCCCTGCACCGGGGGGGAACAGTCGGTAGTGGCCATGGTGCGGCGCCTAGACGACCGATTCGTGCGCAAAAGAGGTGCTTTATGGGAAACCTCGAAGTTGCTTGTCTTTTGACTGGTTGTGTGAGACAGTTTCCGTGTGTAGCAGCTGCGGTGAATTGGAGCGAAACTGACCACCCCCCTCCCTGTCCCCGTTGCTGACTAAACCTTTTTGCCCCCCTACTCCGATGGTTTAGGCTTCGTAGGGGAAGCAGGTTTGTTTCTGGCGATCTTTGACGCCATGAATTTTACTAGTGAGGCCTTCCTGAATCGCACACCTTATTGCCGTGCCTGGGACTCGCTGCCCCGCCATATTTTTGACACCCTGGTGGACGAGGGATTTTCCCCCCGCCAAACTGATGGAGAGCTACTGGCGGTGGCATGCTTGCGGGTCGGCACCCCGACTCGCCCGATGATCCGGACATTCACATGGTCCCGGAGGACTACCTGATGGCGCTGGTGACAGCAGCCGCAGCGCGCCTCCCTCAACCAGTGGACCAGGATGACTTGGAAATGATCAGATCCACCTTGTGGGATCTGCTGATCAAGGTCACTCAGGGACCTATGACCACTACATATGGCCCTCTTCAGTACGCCTACGACCGGCGAGACATGCAGACATGGCACAACCGCAAGAGCCCCCCTCCATTGCTCCAGCTCAACCTCCTCAAGTGGCGGCACTGGCGCCCCGGGCAAGTGGCCACTCTGGAACCCACTACCCAGCGGGCGGTCATGGGGGATTCTGACTTCCGCATGGAACTGAAGCACCTCCTGGGCGATGCTAGGTTCCGCTCGATCCGGCAACACTGCCTGGTCTATGAGAACCTCCGCAAGCGAGGATTCGTGGCGATTCCATGGAGGGAGTCGGACGTCCGAGCTCTGCTGAACAAGCTGCAGATTGACGAGGTCTCGCCCTACAAACTCCAACAGATCTGGCAGACCCTGAACTGGTTGTCCAAGATCTTTGGCCTCCTCAAGGTGGACGAGCACCAGCGCTTGGTCACCAAGAAAAAGGCCCTGGAAGAGGAGCTCGCTCCCACGGTGGTTCGCCCCCAGAAGAAAGCTGCTGTTCCCTCACGGGAAGTGATATGGGCGCTGGAGGAAGGAGCGGCGCTTGGGGGACCCCCTGGTGCCCCTGGCCCAGCGGCCCCAGCGCAGGCAGCCCCGGTCGGGAACGCCACGAGCAGCTGGATGCCTTCATTCTGGGCTTTGCCCGCTTCCAGGTGGGCTGCAGTGCCCGCTTCGATGACCTACAACATGTCCGCCCGGAGGAACTCCGGACCACATCCAACACCATTGAACTCCAGGCCTGGCAGACCAAGGTGGCAAGGGCAGCCCGGATTCGCACGAAACCGGTCCCGTTGATCTGCCCGAAGTACAGCTTCTCTGGAGCACCCTGGTACCTGCAGTTCGTATCCACAGTGCGGAAACTCTCCGTGCTCAAGGCCTTCGAGGGCATGGACTATCTCCTCCCCACGATCAGCAAGGACTTTGCAGGGCTGATCCCTCGCCCCTCGGGAGGGGACCGAGCCCTACGGTGGCTCAAAGACGCTCTCAGACGTCGGGGGGTGGCCCAGGAACATGTCGCCCCCCTTACCTGGCACTCCTTCCGGGTCTTCATTCCGGATTGTGCCTTCCAGCTGGGGGTTCCCCGCTCGGAGCGGCAGTACCTGGGAAACTGGATGACTGAGTCGACTGCTGATGTCTATACCCGGGAGAAACGAAACGTTGTCACCGCCATCTGGACCAAGGTGGCAGACAAGGTGAACTCCCTCAAGATGACACTGGGCCGTGAGCGCAGGGAGGATCTCAACCATGGGGACTGGGACGACCCAGTGGCTGAGGTGGTGGATGCAGATGAGCGACACCAAGGATCGCCGCCCCGGTCTGCACGACGCTCCATGGCGGACACCCCACCCGTGGGAGAGGGTACCCCACAATCCGATCAGGTGACCCCGGGCACCACTGATTCGTGGGACATCGTGGAAGAAGCAGACAAGGGAGCGGACCAGGACTACTCCTACCAGGTGATCAGCTCGAACACGGTACGGCGGGGCCCAGAGAAGCAATTCCGTGTACACCTCCTCACGGTGGAGGGGTTCTGCTTGGGCTGGCGCCCCAAGAGCACCCAGATGACAGTGCTGACTCCCGGGGAATACTGGGCCAATCCCACGGGCTACGGCAAGTGCACGCGGTGCTTTGCCAAGGGTGACCTCCCCAAATCGTGGTTTGTGAGCCGGCATGGCACAGTGGAGGGGAAGGACATCCCTGATCTCGAAGTTGACACGGAAAGCTCGGCTACGTCGGGCTCCGAGACGGATGACTCCGTCGACACCCAATCGGAAGCTGATGCGGTACCGTTACCGAAGGTGCTCCCGGTGGAATCCATCTGAGGCGCTTTGTTTTTGACCATCTCTTAGCCCTGTCCCACGGCCAGGTGCCCCTTGGCCCTGGAATGGTGTCACAAGGTCATGGAGCTCTTGGAAGAACTCTCCAATGGATCCCCCATGTCAGCCAAGGCCATTGAGAAGGC